GTTCGCGTCGTGGTCATGATATTCCAGTACTCCGCGTGTTTCGGCACAGAACTTGCAATGAACAATCAGTTGGCTACGCATTTTCGGACATACTTCCAGATGGATGCAGGTGATGCCAGCGCCCTGGCGGGTGCCTTCGGCTTGATGAACCTTTTTGCAAGATCCCTTGGAGGCATTAGCAGCGATGTTTGCTACAAGTACTTCGGCTTCCGCGGCCGGATTTGGGCTCAGTTCCTGGCACTCTTTTTCGAAGCTATCTTCCTCTTCAGCTTCGGAAACGTGGACAACTCGCAGCCTTGGTATGTGGCCTTGGCAGTCTTGGTCTGCTTCTCGCTCTTTGTGCAGATGGCTGAGGGCACCTCCTACGGCATCGTGCCCTTTATGAACCGGAAGCAGCTCGCAGTGGTGTCCGCGCTTGTGGGTGCCGGTGGAAACCTCGGGGCAGTGATTGCAGGCTTCTGCTTTTACAAGCCAATCCAGGATGCCCTGCTGCCTTTCCAGGTCCACGCAGGCTATGTGATGTTTTGGGCGCTGCTGAGCCCCTGCTACTACTGGTCTGAGCTGGGTGGAATGTTCCACGGACCGGCACAGAGCGAGAAGGGCAAGACCCAAAGCAGCGAGTACCAGTCTCACACGGAGTCTGAGGCCACCAGTAACAACTGCATGTGAACTCTAGCCTCGTTCAGAAAGGAGGAGGCAGTCTGACGTTTTATTGGCTGAACAGACCAGCCTGATGCTAATTCGATGGCTCGAGCCAGTTTTATGTGCTCCGTCGGTGTCTTAGCATGGAGTGCAACGCACCGACGAGTTCAGACAGTCCCGCTGCTTGGCAACAGCTGTGCGCCGGGCCTGCGATTTCTGCGTTCTGCATAGAGTGCCAAGCACATGACTTGGTGCAGCCAGCAACAGACATCGAAGAAAAAAATAAGTGAACGATGGTGGTGGCTACAGTGATGGGAGTGATGGCAGCTGGGGTGCATAGTGATGTAGTGAGTAGTGAGATCCGTGGGCTCGCACCATTTTTTGGCGTCGTCATCTTTTTGGAGGGTTTTGGGCGCTGGGACGTGCACAGGACGCCAGACGCGAAGCTCCATCCTTCCTACAACCGTGGTGCCGCTCAAGGACCTTGGTTCCTTAAACCCTAAACCTAAACCCGAAACAATACAAACATAAAAGACATATCGCAAAAAAAGACCCTAAACATAATAACGTAGTCCCCCCCCCGTAGATCCTAAACCCCTGAGGCCACAGTCTCAACTAGCCTCGGGCTTTATGAAGCTCTTGTGGCAGCGGCAGTCATATGACTGGAATGGCAAGACACAGCTTCAACCACAAAATTCACAGGAATACGCGTCAGAATCGTGAATAGAAGTTCTCGTAGGAACAACAGCCAGTGCAGCAGAAAAAGTACTGTAAAGATCGCAAGAGTTGAATTGAATACCAGCCCCAACAGTCTGAAAAAGATATCCTTCGGAGCTTCTGTGCGATTTCGGCCTAGGGCTCGGTGCCGTGTTTTAAAAAATGTTTGCTTATTCTGTTGTTTGACTTGTGGTTACTGCTGTCGAGGTCGTTGGCGTCTCTTTCGTCAGGAATTGTGACTGTCAGAGC